GAGAAAAAAAAGAATCAAAATATACTTAGAAATATTTATCTGCTTTATTCGACTGATGACGCATGAGATATTCTGTTTTTTTTTTTTTTTTTAAAACATATATTTTTTTTAATTTTATTTATTTTGCTTCAATTAGTGAAGTTTCCGCTAATAAAGTGAATATTTTTGGCTTTTTGAAGAATAAGGATCTGTGTCAGATTTCCGTGAAGCGTGTGTGTGTGTGTGTGTGTGTGCGATTATGGCAAAGCCTCGAGGGCTATCTGCCTAAGGGGAGGGATGCCTTCGTGGAGGACTTTCTAAGGAAAACTGGCTCGTATACACGTTACACATGGGAAAAACCACGAAAACGCCCATGCAGCCAGCCCGTTCGCGGGATTCGAACCTCGGACCGAACTACCAGTGTTCAGCAACTTTACCGCTCGGCCGCTGGTGGGCGATTTCCGTGAAGCGCAAAAAGGTTTTCTCCGAAAAGTGTTAAGACCCAACAATGATTTATGAAACCAGATTCAATCAAAGATTGAATTTCGCTGATTATTGAATATATTATTATAAATGTTTTTTTACATATCGAAATTGTTAAAATAACGGTAGTAAGTTAAAACGATGAAAATATTGAATGATTTTTGGGTTTGCAAATGAGAGAAAAAAAAAGAAATGTATACTTTTACGAAAGATTTTAATTTTAAATCTAAAAAGACAAAAGACATGCATGATGGGCATTAAAAAAAACTCATCGATACATTTCATGAAAAATTCTGATAATTTCAAGAAAGCTAAAAATCAAGAACAAAATTAAGAACATGTATATAGGAATGGTACTAGACATTTTGCGTTCTGTAATGTCTTTTAAGTTCTATCTCTCAATGTCTTAATTCTAAAAATTTTGCTGCCCCATGAGGCTGCACTGTGAGACTGCCTTGCATATACATTCTAAAAGCTAAAAATTAATATAAATGATTTGACATTTTTTTAGCAAATAAATATTTATTGTAAAAGATAACAGACAATTAATTTCCTTATCCTTCTTATAAGTTCACTGAACTTTGTAACTGTCATGGCCGAATAAAGGCAGAATTTTTTCAATTTGTTTTCATCAAACTGATATATATTATTCGCAATCAGGCCCGTCTCAAAGAAACTGTGGACTCTCGAGCTTTACTAGTGTTCCTTACTTACACTGACGCTCTCAAGAATGATAAGTTTACCAAAAGATGGATCCTTATATTTACAGAGCATGGGTGTTGAACATCATTGCTTACATTTGCAATTTTTTAAATAATTCGTCTCATATTTTCAACAGCATTGCTTACGTTAAAAATGATTCACTTGAAGAGCATTTTAATGACAAGGTTTCTTTAAATGTGTTTAATTTAGAATTCGACTAAATGCAGTTTAACTAGTCAGCACCTTGTTGCTAAACTCCATATGAAATCGTTCAAGTTGAAAGTTTAAATTGATAAATCGTTTAAATTGACAAATCAGAGATTAAAAAGGTAACTGAGAACTGAATAGTTGTTTGATAAATACGTTATAGCAAATAAATGACATTTCAATAATATTTTGGCAACATAGGAAATAAATATTATGATTGTCGAAAGCAGTGCTCGGTCATTTCATGTTACTGCTGCTTTCATCTACAATTTTTTATTCAGCTGCCATTCTCGCTTTTATAAAAGCTAGTCTTTCTGTTGATATCATCCATTTGTAGCTCTGCCGTTTACAAACAAAACAAACAAAAAACTGGCATTTTGATTAGCAACAAATAAGGAATAATTTCGCGTTAAAATTCAGTAATTTTAATTTTTCATGTTAGAAAAATCATTAATTATTAATCGCATAGTGCAATGGGCATGTTACTAAGCTAGTATTAACCCACTCTTTTGAGAATTATGTTTTAAGGCAATGGCAACAGTAATATAATCACACTAGAACATTGTCAATATGGCAAAACGCGGAAGCTGCCGAGTTGGCCTGTGAAGCATGTGGCTCCTCTATGGAGTGTCAATGAAATAACTTCTGAGGCATAAATTCTTGAAAAGTAACGAGACATGTAAAGAGCGAATTTCACGGAGTACCAGGTGAAAAGTCACATTGTATAAGCATTCAGTTGCCAGAAAAAACTCTAAAATGTATAAAAACAATACATATAATAGATGCTTTAAATCTTTTAAAGCATTTTTTTTTTCGAATTGTATTACTTCATAAGCTGAAGATTTAAAAACGGTAAACGCATTTTTAATAATTTTAAATATATATATTACTTCTTGCGTGTTTCTAATTAGTTTTTTCATCGATGTTTATAAATTCACTCACATCTTAATTCATCGGATTATCTGTTAAAGATAAAACATTTTGATTTAAAATTCTTCAGTAAAGTATTTTGTTTTTTCACTTTCATTTTCAGTTCTCTTAATAGAGTAGAATTCTCTTTTTTAAAGGTTTTTCTGATTATTCTAATTAGAATTTACTTTGTTTTTTCCTTACTGTGGGGAAGGATCAGAATTTTCGGGCGAACTATTATAATTAAAATACTTTGAAATGGTTCATCGGCTAATTCTGGATACAGAAAAGCAAGGATTTTTGTAGAAGGGAGATTTCAATGGAATTCAATGTTCCTTCCTCCTGATGAAGTAGCGGTGAAGTTGATTGAATTCCTCTTCTGTTTTTGTTCATTTTTCTTTAAATTTCATTAATCTTTTCAACTGTGATTTTTCTTGTTTGAAATGTTTTTGGTTTTAACATTTTTAAATTCTTTGTTGCAATTATTTGAAATTTATTAAATATGAATTTCATTTTTTAGTATTAAGTTAATATTCAGTAATTTGCAAATAGCAACATTTAATATTTAGTAACTTGTGAATAGCTACAATTTGAATGCATGTAAAAATAGAACATGTTAGTATTGCAGTGCTCTGTAATATATAATATTCTAGGCTTATAAATAAATTATTTAAACAGTTAAAAGTGCACCATATTTATTTTATAAGCCTAGAATATTATATATGGGTAACTGTGGCATAGAAAAATATAAGAAAAGAGCTACAGTTATTTTATTTTGGCCAATATGAACAAGCAGATAGAAAATAAAATTTCAGAATGTCTTATTTGTAATGAATATCAGAACAAAAACGTAAAGGAACTTATCACATGAAGTTCCTAATTTACCTTTGTATAAAATTGGAACAGATTTATTTGAGGTTAATAAAAGTGTATACTTATCAACTGTAGGTTACTATTCAAACTTTTTTGAAATCTCAAAATTACCAGATACTTGAAGTCAGACAGTGATCAGTTATATAAAATGTCATTTTTAAAGATTATGGTATACCATTAACAGTAATATCTGATAATAGACTCAATTTGCGAGTAAAGAATTTGCCAAGAAACACAAATTTAAACATATAACGAGCAGTCCATATCATCCGTGGTTGAATGGATTAGCAGAGTGTTCAGTACAAACGGGGAAAAAATTGTTCAAGAAAGCTCAAGCAGATCATGCTGATCCTTCCTTAGCATTTTTAGCTCATAGGAACACTTCGACTGATAAGAGGTTAATAAAGTCCGACTTGAAGAACAAAAACCATTCTTTCTTAATCAGAAGAATTATTAAAACCTCAAGTTGTGAAAAAAGTAAAAGAAAAAATCAACTAAGAAAGAATTAAGCAGACTTCATATCATCGTCATATAAAAACATTGCCATCATTAAGCAAAGGAGACTATGTTAGAGTATATCAAGGTAATCGCTTGAAACCAGCAGTTGTAGATGTATATAAGACGCCAAGATCATATATACTGAGATGAGGGTAAAAGACATTAGAGATACTAAAGGAAACAGTTCAACTGCTGTAGAGAATATCAGAGGAACAGAACAAGGACTTAATGCATAGAGAACAGGTGTTATAAAAATATCATTCCAGATTCTCAAGAGCAAAGTTTAAAAGATCAACTATTAAACTCCGCTAACTCAGAAACAAGGGACGTTGAGCAAAGAAATGGAAGTGGAAGAGCGATTAGAAAGCTGAATAGGTATTTGAACTAATTTTGGACCCTTTTAATAAACTTTGAACTCTTTAAAAAGAAAGATGTAACAATCAGTATTTCATTATTTGTAAATGGCAACGTTGGATATTCTTCAGAGAACAAAAATGACGCCAAGCAAGGGAGAAACAGCTCATTATGGTAGATCTGCTCTGTAATATACAATACTCTAAGCTTACAAATAAATTGTTTAAACAGTTAAAAGTGCACCCCTCTTTATTTTATACTATGTATGTTAAACATCTATATGCGTCATTCCCACGTCATCTATCTATCTATCTTTCTTCTCTCTCTCCCTCTCTCTCTATATAGAATTAATCACTAATGTAACACCGTTTGGTTTGTGTTAATTAACTTTACAGTAATCAAATAAGGAGCCTACATTTGTAGCACATATGGATGGTAATATAAAGATATTATATTGTATTTCCTTCTTAAGGCGGGTTCTGCATAAAACTCTAGCAACATCTGATTGATATTTTCAAAGTACAGATTAGGAAAATTTTAGCGACTAAACATAGTAGCCACTTTAACAAGAAAGTACATGATATTTTTATTAATGAATTATAGCTTGTAATAACTGGCTACATATTGAAAAAGAAATTCTTTTAAATGTTTTAAATAATTAATGCAATCCATCCTTAATCTTTTAACCTATTAGCTAAAGAAAGAAAGAAAAAAGAAAGAAAGAAAGAAAGAAAGACGCTTACCTTATATAATAAATTCGTTGCAGGGTTATCTCCGCGAGCAATATCACAAAATACACAATTCCTCGCTCTGTGTTCTATCCGTAATTTTTCATCTTGTTCAAATCTATCTGTATATTTCTCATCGGTAGATACAGGTTGAATTTCATTCACTTGCTTTTCCATCTTCTAGCTCTGAAAGATTTATGAAAAATGAATGTCGTAAATGTTTTCACTTTGCTTTCCGAGATCGGCAACGAATTCAATCGCTTCTGATTGGCCAGTTCTCCCGCCAAAGAAAGTGTCCTGATTGATAGATTTGGTGTAAATTGTGTCAGGAGATTTAATTTTCTTGTTGCTAATTCATCTCTTCCTGTTTTTGGATTCGAAATATTTCCGTAACGCAAAATATTCTTCTATTGTTAAGATGTGGGACAGTATGAGTAAGTAAATCAGAATGTTTCTTTTTTTTAATTATGTATTTTTGTAATGTTGTAGTTATGTGTATATTTATTTTGCATACACTTACATTTAGAATAGTAAACAAATCACTTAGTTGGAAAAAAATCTGTTGCATTTTTTTCAAAATTAAGTTCAAAATAAGGGTTGGATTCCTTATAATTGTAGAAATTTTGATTCTTGCAGTACTAAAAACAGTTTCTTTTAATGATTTGCATAGTAAGGGTAAATACTAACACACGGTAAACTTGGTATAAACTTGACATATTACTCTAATTAAGTAACTTTTTTCAACTGTCATTGTAGGTGATAAGTAGAAAAAAGTTTGAATTCTTAAATGCATAAGGGAAGAAAGAAAGCTGTCTCCTGTAATTGAAATTTAATGCTTGTGTTTCCCAAACTGTACGTAACGTTTTTCCAAATACATAAGCTTTCATTAATTTGAATTATTAGGTCCTAAAAAAATTATTTGAGTTATCGAAAGTAATCTAAAAAGTCAACTGCAAGGGGGATTTACTGAAAATATAGTTCTATAAACTGTTACAGTACTTTTACATTAGTTTTCAGGATAGCTTTATTTACAAATTTCTTGCTCATGCATGTTTGTTCATAACAGTAACGTTTAAATCCTTGTGCTGTACTCTTAATTTTTTTTTGTCTTTTAGTACAGTATTTGATATTCTCGGATTCTGTGTGAAGTCATGGTTTTAGATAAGTTTCAGTCCATATTTATTTGCACTTTACGACTTGGATCATGCATGAAGGACATTTTTCATAATTTTCGGTTTTGCTTCAAATACAGTATTTTTCACTTGGTGCAGTATTTTAAAATGTATGTGTTCCAAAAATGAGCAAACGTGACTGGATTCAGATAGTGGTCTGGGCTTTAACAAGATTAAAATCCAGACCTAAAGAATCTTTCACAAAATGAACATCTTTTCAAAAATGTTGTAGGATTTCAAATTATGCTCAAGTGAATAATGGTATAGTGAATGGATAATCATATTTTATTTATTATGGAAAAATTAAAGATAAAATTTTTATTTATTTATGTTATCAAATTTTTAAGATTAGCAGTATGAATTAGTGAAATTTATTAGCGATTTTAATTAACTGAGATTTTTAAAAGTTCAGCCCTTATTCAAACTATTTAAAATTTCAGATTATCTGGTTTTTAAATTAAAATTCATTATGTATTTTTTCAATTTATAATGGCATTTGTGTACTTGTTATACTTTTAACTACATAATTTAGGATTTCAGTTTATGAGAAATTCAACTGTTCTGCATTAACAGTATTAAATTAAAGTTGAAGTATTAATTAAAGTAAATCTGGAAATTATCAGAAAACAAATGTTTATTATACTTCTGTTTTAACCTTAACATTGGTAATTTTGTAACTATCTGTCAGATGGCACTTCAAGAAGCTGTAATTAATTTATTTTGCGATTTCTAATATTACTTCTCTGAAATGAAGAACTTGTATTGCTTCAAAACATAAATAAAATCTTATCAGATGATGAATATGTTGCAGCATCATTTAATGCCGTTGATAATATTATATAGTTAAATGAAGGAATTGTTTCAGTATTTTATGTAAATAGCTGATCGTTGCAGATAATTGTGGGATAATATGATTAAACATAAAATTCTTTATATGCTGCATATAAAATAAATAACTTAAAGTGCTCAATAAAAGGCTGTGTACAATGACAGAGTGCACAATTCTCTGACTTTTTTTTAAGCAAAAACAAATTGCTGTGTATAATGCTATGCGAGTATATTTTAAATGCTTCATTTAAAGTATATCCATAGAGCTATGAGGAAGTTAGAAAAACAATTTTGATGCAACTTTTGAATATATTTTTACAAAATCTTAATTCTTAAATGTCTGTTCTAATAAATTAAATCATACTAACAATGATGAAGAAAAATGTATTTCTACAACTAATGGTTTTGTATGTTAATTTTATTAGTTTATTGAAATGTAATGAAATCTTTCATCTTATTCTTAATATTTGTTTAATATTGTAATTCATATTTCGGTTGATCTTTACAATATGGTAACTGGTAGTTTGGCGACATTTTGGAGGCGATAAAGGTTACTACCTGGGACTTTGGTAATAATGTGAGCAGTACTCAGTTCCGATTATGCATTATTTTGCGTGAGGGAAATGAGAGATCATGGGATATGTCATGTGATATTAATGGACGAATTACGGTTCTTTAATCGGAAAAAAGGGGGCAAAATCGGGAAAAAAAAAATGTGGAAATTTTGTTTTTATTTAGCTTTATTCTGTGTTGTGTGAAAACAGTGTTGTGTAATTTTTGGATCCCATGGCCCTAACTAAAGTGATTCGAAATGGGTATTTAGGCATTGTGATAAAGAGAAGTTTGCTTTTTATTTAGCGGAGGAAGTATGGAGGAAAAATTCGCAGAAAAATCTTTGAATAGTTTTATTGAATGAATTAGAAAAGTGTATCCGCCACGTAATTAAGATTCTGAAGAAGATTAGGTAAGTTAGTATTTTTAATTATTTGAGGATATTATTTTTATGCATTGTTCTAAATGTAAGGTGGAAAGGAATTTGGTATTGGGAAAATTGTTATTAGCAATGATTTAGTTTAAAGTAATTAGGATTGTAAGGTAATTATTATTAATTTAATGTATGTGCTCATTTATATTTTAAGTAGTGTTTGTTTTTGAATTTAATTATATTTTAATGAAATGATAGTTATTTGTGAATTTTATGTTTATAGGAATTTGGTATACGTTTAAATTGAAATAAACGTGCATGGAAATAATTTAAAATATTTGATACTAAGTATTTGTAATACTTGCGGTATGAATTCGTTGGGACGTGTATAATGTAATAGATGATTTAGAGGTAAAAGTTTTTGGATATTTTATTTATTTTATATGTGGAAATGTTCATATTGGTAAAGGGTAAATACTTTTTCGTGATCAGGTAATTTCATATATGTTCTTTTTACCGGGTTTAAAGATTGAGAAAATTGTCATGTATTTTCGTGAAATTTTTCTAAATTATGAGAAAAAAGCAGTGTGCATGGATATAGTGAAGAGTGTGCGCAATGCCATTTTTGTGCAATTCTGGGATGTTTTTTTAAGTAAAAATAAGTCGGCGTGTACATGGTTTATGTGTATGTGTTATTTTGAAAAACGCGTAAGGTGTATGGTATTGTGCACTTTTTCCCAATTTTGCAGTGAATATTTGTCATGATTAAGCAGTTTGGCTTGATAAAATTTCTAGCGTAAGTGTAATTCGGCTAGTAGATTGTTGGAAGAAGTGTTCAGTAGATAAGAAGAAAAGAAACATGTCTTTACTTCGTGAAGACAAAATGGCGGCGGGGGAAAAAAAATAGAGGGTTGCTGTAGGAGAGTTGGTTGCCAAATTTTCGCCAAAAATTCGCCAAGTTACCATAATGTAAAGATCAACCCATATTTCTTATATAATTAATAAAATATTGTAAGCTACCATTATTAGATTCTAATTTCATCAGTTATAAATGTAAAAAGTTACCTGTTGATATATATGGTAGCAGTATGATAGATGTTAATTTGAAATTTAATATTTCATTAAATATCAAATCGTTCTTCTGAAACTTGCACCCTTAACACCATCCCTTTCATTTTTTTAACCAAATGGATTGGATGATTATATTTGTTTCATTTTCATTTGTTAATTTGTTTTTCGAATAATTAAGTAGTTCACTTTTTATTGTATGAAATTTATATTCATAGAGAGATATTTATACGTGACATTTAGCTAATGATAAGCTATTGAGGGCTCGCACAAGACCTTTGTTAAATTTTTAATACACCAGTCTTTTGGTTTGCTTGTTTGTTTATTAAAAAATGTGGATGCATATTGTTTATGTCATAATAATTTCTTATTAAAGCATGAAATAAAAATGAATGATTTTCTAGTTTTCTTGAGACATCTTTAATAGGAAAACTGCATAATGAAATTCTTAATAGTGTGAAGAAATAAAGTTATTTAATAGCACTGTAGTTGTTTAAACTTTCAGTTCTTTGAGCAGTTTTTCCACAAAATCTTTCTGTAACATATTTTAGATTTAACAATGTTGTCCTTAAATGGGAGATATTCAAGAAAGTTAGTTCTAAGCCTTGCTTAAAAAGCTTTATTGAAAAACTATCTCTTGGCTTTGTAAATTTTGTAGACCAACTGACATATAAAAAAAAAAAAGTGACAGCTTCTAGAATGAGTTGTGGTATTTTTGTAACAAAAATAGTGCTTTTCTATTAATGTGGCATCAGTCACAAAATATGCATCAAAGCACCAAGTGTCCTAGCCTGTTTACATTGTGTCAGCAATAGTGTCGTTGTGGACACATGGGAAGAAAAGGTATCAGTTCAGTAAATTTTCTAGCTTAGATTTTTCATTTGCTTTTGTGTTGAATTGCAGGCAGTCATTCTTCATTGAATTTATGCCCTTTATGATAGGGATCATGCCCTCTGTAATTATGCCCACTTTGTGTACATATGGAACAAAAGGTTTCCCCCCCCCTTGTGTACACAGCGATTTGTTTTTCCTTAAAAAAATCTCGTAGAATTCTGCACTTTGACATACACAGCCTTGCTATTGTGCACTTTAAGTGTTGTTATATTTGTTATATATAAAATAGTTATTTTTTCATGAAACTTTATTTATCATTGAGGGGGACATCATCTAGTTAAAATTTCATATCAGTGTATATGCTTTGCATTAAGTGACATCCTGTTAACAGAAAAGAACCAAAAAAATTATACCTAAATATTTTTCACATGGAAAATTTCCAAATTTATATATATTGAATGGGGATACCTAAATGCATCTAGTTACTGTATTTGCCTGCATGTGAGACACACTTTTTTCTTTGAAAATAGGTCTGAAAAACGGGTTGTGTCTTATACGTCAATACTCAATTTTTGATTACATTCTTTTCTGAAAATTTTCACTGTTA